AGGTGGGGGTCAGGAGGCGGGTGTGTTAGTTGTGGGTAATAACTAAAATTAACTACAGGAAACTATTCACAAACCAATTACAAGCCAACTAATTAAGCCATAGCCACAGTTAATACTAGACTAACAACAATTAAAAACCTTTTTGTTGATTGTATTTAATGAGAGCGTTGGCCAAAGACATGGTTTCGATGACAAATGTGGTGGTAATGTATGAGACGAGACAAAGTACGACCACCACAACCGTAGAGCCGGCCCAACCGGCGTTGGCAAAGGCGGCCGGCATTGTCAGCGCACCCGTCCCTACGATCAGATTGAACAGGTAGACAAGACCTGTCTGTTTGTGTGCGCGTACAGAGAAATGACAACATGGTCGTTAGTTTAATTGTTAACATCGATGTTTTTACTAAATTAAACACTCTATGACTATATATTAGTTATATGGCGTAAACCCTATGTCTAACCGCTCAAGAACTTAACATTTTGCCAAACGTTTGCAAACTTTTATTTTGTTTAGTTTTGCAAAAACTTTAATAATGTTCGGCCGTATAGTGTATAGCATATTATGTAATGAATTGAATCATTCATTTCATTGTTATCGTCATAATGTACGCTATCATTAAATTAATTGACAACTTCACTATTACGAGTGTTCACTGTATATATACAGTTGACATTAACAGACAATTAATTATACGATTCAATCAATAATGATTTATAACAAACAATTAATTTCAATTTTATTACTCACCACAGGTTTATATGTCTCGCCCGAGTTGTCAGTCGTAACCATTATTTAGCAATTAATTAATACACTATTTATAACATAAATCCATAGAAAAATTAATCACATATAAAATATATTTAATGAAAACAATCATCATCAAATCATAATTTATTAATATATTATGTAGTGTTCATTATATAAAGCACTGGCATTTTGTACACTATATAAAGGGGTGTATAAATCTATGTAAATATTAACCATAATCAATCGTATATACAAAAAATAGTAAAATAAATTTAATTCACAACAATAATCACCCACATAAATGTATATAAATGGGTAGATGATATTTGAGGCTAGTATGATCTAATAATGCCAGTGCTCGCAACGATACCTCACATACAGTATGTTTACCACAATCACAAGTGTACCTCTCACTTACACTGTTATAGTATGGGAAGCACTGGTAGGCAACACAACAACAACAAAAAGTTCATAAAACTTTTAATATAAATATTTGTTTAGACTATTATTTGCTATTTCTTAAGTTTATTGTTTAAGTTATACTAATAAATTTTATATGAAATAAATATGCTGGAAAAGACTGCTCAAAAATACATGAACTAGATCCAAATCAATGTGAAAATGGTAAAATATAAATGTATGATTCAGCACGCGTTTAAATATACCGACAAATAAATGCCATTCAATACAATATGAGATAAGAGGGACAGAAATGCCTTATAATTTAAGTGGTATTTACTAATCAATCAAGAGTGCACTAATAAACGTAAAATACCATCAGTTTTCATTGTTCATATCAAAAACATTCAAATATCAAACCAGAGTGTAGGGCAGGAAAGGGGGTTAGGAAACAAAATAGATAACAGATATAGCACTAAATTTACTGTTAATAACCAATAAGTGAGTGCTAATTGGTATGCAATCAAAGCTACTTTAAATGTGTAAATAATAATCCCAATACAAAGGTTTGTATCAATAATTGAATTATTCATGGTCGCTGCCGTAAATCAAGCCGGAAATATAATTAGTTAAAATAATATTTAATAGTGCTTGATTATGTATTAATTAAAAATGATCATAGTTAGTTTTGTTCCCATGCACTTAATCTCTGAGCATCTCTTACCCTATGATCTATGATATTCTCAACCAATGTTTGTTTAATGAAGAATTTCTAACCAAATCTATAACTCTTAAAACAATTAGATTATAAGTGAATATAAACTGGGATTAAAGTCAAGTGTTATGATAATAGTGAATAGATTTACGTTAATGACATAATTAGATTATAATAGCATTTGTCACTAATTAATGTATGGCTACTGTATAAGTAGGCAATCAAATATTTAGTACATAATTAATATAATTGATATTTATTGTACAATTATTTTTACTCAAACAATGATTTCAATTTATAAATGCAATTTTTATTACATATTAAACATAACCATATAATTGTTTACGATGGTAATACAGTACATACGAGCATGAATCATGCTGCATGATATTGTAAAATTATATGCTAGTTCATCCAGGTGAGTTATAGTGCGGTACAATGTGCGGGGCGTTTGGGCACTCTATTTGCATCTGATATTGAGGTGCTTTCGTTTGAAGTGTTTTCTCATTTGGCTTCTCTCAGTGAACCGCATATCGCAGTCCAGAGCCGCGCACTTCACCGGCTTCTCACCCCTGTGTGCCATCAAATGCAGATTCAATGAAACTATACGTTTGGATACAAAAAACAATTATCAATAAAAAAAATACAAACAACAAAAAAACAATAAAAATACATTACATTTAGATTTGAGTTTTTTGCCGCAGTTATCCCACGGACAGGCAAAGTCACCGACACTCTTATGGCACAGATAGTGACGCCGGAGTTGTATCTTATTGAGGAACCGGGACTCACAGCCGGGCCTTCAACGTGAAAATATACGGCAAAAGTATTAGATAACAATTTGTTTCATTTCATTATAGACTTTGAAATGGTATACCATTCGCACTGAAAGCGTCTATCATTAATGTGTGACGTGTAGTGCATTCGTAGGTTTGATTTCGATCTGAAATTATTATTATTTTAAATATTTAGCGAAAAAATAGCGCAAAACAAATTGAATTGTGTGTCGGGACTGACCGGAAAGCGTGACCACATTCTGGCCAATCGCACACAAAGTCTTTGACGCCCGTATGGCTCGTGATGTGTAATCGGAGCGCCGGCTCTCTCACAAACTTTGATTCGCATCCCGGCCTACAAATCGAGTCACACATGAAATCAATCATTTGTTTACAACAAATCAATGCTTTTTTAAGTACAAACCAAATGCATTTGAATGGCTGTTGACCCGTATGTATGAGTTTATGGTGCTCTGCAAATGTGTCGTCAAATTAATAGTTAACTAATAATTTAATAACAATTTCTATGCAAACCTAAAAGGTTTTTCAATTTAAACCGTTTGCCACAATCAGCCCAATCGCACACAAAGTTCAGGTCCGGACTGTGAGCCCAGAGTTGATGGTTCCTGAAGAGGTGGAGGAATGAATGCAAAACAATTATCATATATTGTGTCCAACGGTTCAACTGAGCTAAAGATAACACTCACTTCAACTCTCCTATCGTATAGAAACTCCATTGACAGTCCGGGAACTGATCCGAACACTTGAACTTCTTGTCGCCCGAATGTCTTAATCTGTATTTAAACACAAATACAAATTTCACAATAAATTATTTTTAAACTACAATTAAAGTTAATAACAAATACAATCGTCAAACCTATGGGTCGTTAGTTTGCAGTATTTATCAAAAGTGAGCGAACATTGATTGCATTTAAACGCACGACTCGTTTGATCGTAAATAGAGCTGTGATTGGGTTTAATATGATTGATGAGCTCTTTCTGTGTCCAAAACATGTCATCGCATTCCTCGCACTTCATCGGACTCTTGTCGTAGTGAAGACGTTGGATGTGATCCACGATGCGATCCAACGCCACCGCTTTGAACTCACAATAACGATAATTACAGATATATCTCAAGATATTGTTGGTCTTCGTGTGTTTGATCGGCGAATAGTCTGTAATTAAATCAAATTATAATTAAATACAAACATTTATTTCACACATTTTTTGTGTTCAATTTATACGGCAATTGAAGTCTATCTTCAGATAAGTCTTATTCGGCACAAAGTTATTAAACGCGTCGTCCGATGTGTCCAACAATTGTAAATTGGTTTCCGAGTCGTTGTGTTTATAAGTCTTGTGTATATCTAATTAAATTAAACAGTAATTAAAATTAAATTTCAAACAATAATTATGTGATAAATGAGTTGTAAACGCAATTTCATACCTAAATCAGACTTAATTTTAAAGCATTCATTACATCCAATCCAATCGCAATGAAACAGTTGTTGCGGCGAATGGGCGCCGATTTGATGGTTTCTAAGATAGCATAAAATATACATCACATTAAATCTGGACATAAACCACACCCTATGGGCGCACAACTGTACAGACCTGAGCTCACCGGCCGTATAGAAACTCCACTCACAGTCCGGGTAAGTGTCCGCACATTTAAATTGCTTTTCACCGAAATGTCTCGTCTGTTAACAACACAAACCGTTTAATACAATATTAATAACAATTAAATGATAATCACTTTATGGAGTAATAATGAACAGAATTTCTTGAACTGAAGACCACATCCATCGGCGGTGCAGATGAACTTCTGGGTCAGTCTATCGTATAGATCTCTGTGAGCCTTTCGGATATGCTTCGAGAGTTTAATAGTCGAGCCAAACGTTTGCAGACATTGTTCACATTTGGTCCGATCATCGCTCGACTGATCCGTGCGTTGAACCCGCGTTTTGGCCACTCTTTT